TCCTCATAGAGACCTAAGACATCAATACAAATAATCAGTAAGATTGTTTGAAAAATTTTATTATGGAACAAGAACCACATGTATTTTTTGAGGTATATTATATCAATATTCTTCTCGTCTTTCTTATTGTCAAGTAAAAAGTAAGGAATTACCATAACAAAGAAAGATAAGAATAGTGGATAAGAAGGTAAACTGTCTAGCTAACTTCGAAAAGGAAAATCAATTTACACAAAGAAAATATATCATTAATACACAACAACAATAAATTGAAAAAAAATAAAATAATGAATAAATAAATTTGAAGGTAACAACTAACCCTGCTTTCCTCACTTTTGCAATTGTGAGAAAGAAGGATTAAAATCCAATAATTAATTCACGAGGTGCAATAACAATTTCATAAGCCACACAAGGTTTGTAAAAAACTAAACTCGGTTATAAATGGGTTCATTGTTTTATTCTGTTGGGTTAATTCTAACACTTGAATTTTTTTTTTTTCTTTTTTTCTTTTTTCTAAACGTGACTTCCAGATGAAATATCCTTTTTATTGGGCCATTCTTGTTCACATATTAAAAAAATGGGCACATCAATTCTTTGACTAAACGATCCCACTAACCTACCACACGCCTCACAACTCTCCCCAGACACAAGAAGCTTCTTCCACAAGATTGAAGGAGGCAACCGAAGGTTTTGAAACTCTGGCAGATTTTATTTTATTTATTTATTTATTTTTGCATTCCCACTAACATACCACACGCCTCACAACTCTCCCAAGACACAAGAAGCTTCTTCCACAAGATTGAAGGAGGCAACCAAAAGTTTTGAAACTCTGGCAGATTTTTATTTTATTTTTTATTATTATTTTTTGGCATTTCATCTCTCTCTCTGATTTTAATTTTAATTTTAATTTTTGTTTAATTTCTCAAGTTTTTCTTACTTTTGCATTATTTTATAATTTTTTGGTTTGGTGTGAAGCTTACACCTCAAGCCGACTCACAAAGGAAAAAAAGCCTCAGTCCCATTTCCGCCTTTTCAAACACTGTGGACAATAGTTGATGGGTGCAGGTACGTGTCTAAATAACAGGTTGCTCAAACCTTAAAATTTTAGATAATGGACTAGACATATCGTCTTTCATTATGTCTACAACAAGACAATGTCTGAAACAATAAAAATATGTTAAAAATGCATTTCCCAATATATGAAAAAGAATTATAGAACCAAATAAGTAACATTGATATACGCTTTAAATTGATGATCACTGTAACCAAGCATTCAATAACCTTCTCCAAAGTGTCAAGTGTCTAACATGGGTACTTCATGCATTAAGTAAACTTTCGTACAATGTGATAAAAATGTTTTATTCTAGTACGACTGACCGTGCTCAATATGACAATATATTACTTAAAGATGTGTGAACAAAGCAAAGTTTCTCAATTATCAAATGGAGAAGTGGACAGAAGCACCAAGGCTCTCGGGGCATAAACGTGAATTAAGAGAAGAACACTTCATTGAAGTGATGCACTCATTGTATTTTAAGTGAAACTTCAGATGCATTTATTCAGGAAAATTCAGAACTTGCACTATATATCAGTAAATTATAGCAAGTATTGGTTAATCTTGCTACTAATTCGAGCAAAATCATCTGAAGTAATTGTACAGCAACCAAATATTACAAAGTAGAACATGGCCAGCATTCATGTTAAAAAAGGACCAAAAAGTGCAAATTTAAATGTACACTGAACATTTTGCAGGCCAAGTTTATAGCTCTTTACCGAAGGTCCTGTTATTCTGCACCAGAAAATGTCAATGCCAGTTGTGCTTTGCTCTTAGCATCACTTTTAACAAAAATAGATGGCATGTTCATGGCATGTACTAAAGGCCAAGAAATTTGTGCTGACAGAAATCATTAAGCTTGCCTGGAAATCTATTATTATATGAAAACACCTCTACTGGAAAAGAGTTGGTATTCTCCTTTTGCCTTGTTCCATCTACAACTATTTTATTACATTCTGGTACAAGAGGAAAAACCAAGAACTCATTTTCCAGAAACTAAAAGGCCTTTTTCCTAATATCAAGGCGTTTAATCAACTAATGTGTCATCAAGAACATAATACAAAATGCAATTGACAAAGTAATACATATCTGCACGATGTATAAGGACAGCAACTTACATACAGAAAATTTACCATCACGAATATAACTAACACTTAACAGCAGATCAAAATATTATGTCTTCGTACCTATTTTCCGATCTGGAGGAGTCAAAACACGCTTTCTGGACAACAAATCTGAGGGAAATGCACTTTCACTTGAATCCGGGGTCAAAATGGTAGTAAAATACCTTTTCCATGTATCAAAAGATGACTGTGCACATAAAATGTTCATAAATTATTCAGAAATTTGACTCTAATAACACAGAACAAGGAATACAATAAACGTTAGTTGTATTTTGAACATAAGATATTTCAATCAATAAACATATTCAATGCGTGTACTGTATCTTTTAATTAAAATCTACCTTTCCAGGAACAGAAGATTGCAGTGAAGACAAAGTATCCGCAGAAACGTGACCATTCAAGGCTACTTCAAATTGCGGAAAAAATAAATACAATTAGGAATCAAGATAAAACTATACTTTGCTAAAACACCAAAACTTAATTATAAAGTACTAACATAAAAAAAAAAGGTAGCTACAAGTCCTTATAATAAAAATCAAGCTCGGTCAAAAAATTAAAAATTAAAATCAAGCAATAAATAAGGATTTTTTTCTTGAGTAAAGGAAAGATAAAAAATTACCGTACCATTAGAAATATAAAACGATCTAAGCGAGGAATAATCACAAGAACCAAAGGCACGAAAAAATCTTCTTGAAACTGACAACGCCATTGCAAATGCCACCAATATAATAATAGGTATCAAGACCCTGAGAGAAAATACTCCGGCCAAAGTCAAATTGAAATCACATGCCCCTTCATTGGTTGAGCTTCTGAATAAAAAAGTAAAAGACAAATTTTGAGGTGAAAATCTGAGGTCTACATCTTCACGATTAAGCAATAACTTCGATTATACATAAACGAATACATTTCTTTGCGAGTGAGTAGACTGCGAAAGGAGATTAGCTTACCAAAAGAGAAGGATCGGAATCGGGAGAGATTATTTTGCTGGTGACGCCGAACGGAAACCCTTAAACCCTTTCCGTATAGTTAGTTTCATAAATAGTCACTAACGTTTGTGAAACATTATAAGTTAACCCTTCAGGTATTTTGTTAGACTCATTTAGTCACCATATTTAACTAACATTACACCATCGGTCACTTTTTTAGAGAAGCACTTGCCCTAGGCAGCTAGGCTCTTCTGAGCAAAGTGACCAATGAACGTCAATTAATTTTAGTGATTAAATAATTTTAAAAAAATACTTTGAGAAAAATATAACGTTAATTAAATTTTTATAATAAGAGAAAAATACTTTTAACGATCAACTTATGAAATTAACGATCAATGCAGATTGTTGTAAAATAATAAATAATGATAAATGATTAGTGGTGTATTCATGTTCAAATTAACTCATTCAACTTTATATATGTAGGTCAATTATTATAATAAAATCAATATTCTTAAAAACATGTCTAGGACGCTTAGGTACGAAGCGTGGACAAAATATCGGGCATAGGAGTGTGTTTTATAATTTTAGATATTTAGCAGGTGTTATTTTAATCATTAAATGATTTTTAGATTAATTAAAAATGATATTTTGAAGCTTCATCTCCACACCTTACGCTTTTCTTAAACTTCGCCTTGCACTTCCGCACATTTTAGAACACTGAATAAAATTGTAACCCTAATATTTCTCTCTCATTGTTCTTTTGTTTATAACTTTAAATTCTAGCCAACTAAGTTAAGAAAAGTAAATGACTGTTCTCTTTGTATTTCGCTTTTGTGTTTTGAATTTTGAATTCATTTTAGATTTTGTGTTTTGAGTGTCCATTTTGAAATTGTCAAAAATTTATTTTTTTTGACATTTTGAAAAATTATTTTGAAGACTTGATTATAATTGAAAACACCTAAAACGACAAATTTGTCGTTTTAAATTTTCTTTGTAAATTTGTAACTTGTTTTTAAAAACACGTTTTCGAAAATAGGAAAGAGACCACGTTTGTATTTGATAAATTGAAAACAAAAAACGACTTTAAAATGGCAAAGAGAACATACCCTAATTCATCTTTTATGATCAAAAAATTAAAAAAAAAAACCGTATTAATGCTCCATAATAAGCATTATGCTTCTACGAAGAATGTCATGATATGGTTGTTATTAAAGTACAACTTAATATATATAATATGAAGAAACAGTATTGGTGTTGCTAAAAATGAAAAATCACATCTCAACTACATCAACACCGTATATAAATCAATATTTTAGAAAAACATTAATCTCGAAATATTCTCATCCTGATAAACATATTAACTTTATATTCCATTATTTTAGAAGATTGGGTGGTTGTTTCGAATCACAACTTTGAACTAACCAATATACTTTTCTCCAAGCTAGATTCCAGAAGCAAGCAACACAACCAGAAATATTTCATCACCAGCAGCAACCAAGCCTTACATGCCTCCAGTGGAGGAAAACCGCAATTGCATTGATACGTTGAACCACGGAAAGTTCAGTTTTAGTACTGTCAAATAGCATTTTACTCGTAAACACGACATTCAAGTAATCTTCATTTACCATGGAACTAGAATGATGCATAAGAGTATCAAACTCATTATTAGGTACTGAACTCAATATCCATCAGATCAACTGTTAAAAGGTGCACCTAAATGAAAGAGATACGGAGAACCAAATCCACAAATACCAAGCTGCGCCATAATTCAAACCAACAAAAGAATCCAAAAAATCATTCTGAAACCAAAACTACAATCTGTCGAATTCAAATTCAACTCTAAAGTAAAATATGTTCCAGACAACTCATCCCAACATTCAACTACCTCGCCAAAATACCTCAAGAAGCAAGGTTGTCATTGAGGGACAATGAAGCAAGTTGATCCACTGGGCTATTAGACTGTTGAACATTCCCCAAGACCTCCATAGCTTCAGCTACCTTTGCTTTCAAAGCATCTGGTGATTCAAGCAAGTGTAACACCTCTGTCTGGTCCATCTCCAGAAGCATGCCTGTAACTTTTGCGGCATGTTCAGGCTCCAGTTGGTCAACAAGAGGATACAAATTCTCGCCCAACATCTGCATTCCAAGAAAAGAAATGAAATATTAGGAACATTATTATCAATAATGCCATGCCAGCGACAAATGTAAATTCATGTAGCAGAATGCTTACCGTCCTCTGTTGTTCAGGCGTTGCATTTGCCAGAGCAGAAGCCAGAGCTGTAATTGGCATAGGCTGTGGTATAGAGGCTTCTCGTGGAAGCATACCACCCATGTCATAAGGAGCAGAAAGCATGCCTCCAGCAACACCAGGCATTGGCGCTTCCTGCACATTTCGACTGGGAGGATATCGATACATCCGTCCCCCCCTTGGCAGCATCTGAAGGTGAAACATTAAGCAGCGTAATTTTATAGTACAAACACACACAATTTTAAGAACATATACTGAATTGATGTATCAACTAACCTGCTGTGGCATCAACGGCAGAGGCTGCTGAGTCTGTTGCAAAGGACCTGCTCCTCTTCTACCAGGGCGTTGGCCCTGATGGACAGGTGGCACAAAGAAATTTGGCATAGGAGCTCCACCAGGACGCATTCCAGGTACAAGCTGCTGCTGGTAACCAAATCCAGCCTGACAATTTCAAGATGAAATTGAAATAGGTAACATTAAAAATTGAAGAGAAAAATGAATATAATCCACGTCATTCCACGTGGGCCTCGTATTAAGTATTGACAAGGTCAGTTCCTTTCATTTCTCACTCCACTGAAGTATACCATGATTGATATGATAATCTAATACACTAAAGAACAGAAATTTCAATCACTGTTCAATAACTCAATAAATTACTTCACTACAGACACCTCAGCACCATTAATTCCCATATACATAGTATCAAACCCCAAAATCATATCACCTCAAATTAAGAACAAGACTTGAGATTTTTTAGTCAACAATAGTCAATACAACACCATGTAACTTGCCAACAGAGAAGGTATCTAGCAAACAACTCTATTTAACATTTGTTCTACACAGAGCAGGGAGAGAGGGAGGCCAGAAGAGGAACGAAGTAGTAAACTTACTGGTGACCAGTGGAAAAAAATTAAACAGAAAAAGTTTAACGCAGACAACAAAAATTACCTGAGGAATAATAGCAGGGGGAGCTTGCCCATAAAATAGTTGCTGCCCAATACCAGGTGCACCAGGAGGATAGATTGGCATACGAGGAGCAATTGATGGTGGCATTGCAACTGGCCTCATTTGGGAAAACTGTGCCTACAATTGGACCATAAAAATCACTTTTCGTGTACAACTGTACAAGCAAATGTCACACACTTGAAACGCTTATAGTGCTTAGAAGCAAAGCACCAAACAATCCCTAACATGAACCACCAAAACGGCACACCATTGTGAAGCATGAAGTGACAGGAGAAATGCCTCAAATAACTTTCACTTTAGCCCACAATTGCCTCTAATGACAAAGGAGAGATGCATCTCACACTATATTACCTGTAACCTCGCCCTCCTCTCTTCTTTCCTCTGTGCAAAGGCTACATAGAGTGGCTTACTGATCACCATTTTCCCATTCATCTCAGAAAGCTAAAATATAAAAATAGATAAGATCTCAATCAATTTGTCTTAATAAAGATTTCATGGAAACAAAAGTATCACCTATGGTGTCAACTTACTGCTCGAGAAGCTTCTTCAGGAGTTGCGAATGCAACAAATCCAGATCCTCTGCTTACTCCACTAGGATCTCGCATAACCTGCAAACATCGAAAACAAAGAATATCAAAAGAGCTGAAAAAATAAAGCTCCCATGAGTGGAAAGAGAAAAGAGAAGTAATCACAGAAATAATAAGCTTCATTCCAAAATCTTCAAGCACAAATCAATATACCTTGCATGACGCAATGGTACCAAACTCAGAAAACAGTTCCTTGAGTTTGTCATCATCTATGCTATCATCCAAATTCTTCACATATAAATTAACTCCTTGATATTTGTCGACAGCTTCCTTTGTGTTCTTCTCAAATTGACTTTTCAGTTCTTGTTCTCTCTCAGATTTTTTCTGAGCTTTCCCGACGTACCACTCCTCATCACCAAATTTCTTACCATTTAGAGCTTCAACAGCTTGAGCAGCATCATCAGCATTCTCCATGTTGACAAAGCCAAAGCATTTTGACTTCCCATCAGCATCCCTCATCACTACAGCACTGGTAATTGCTCCATACTCACCAAAAATTTTCTTCAGATCATCATCTGTAGTTGATTCTGCAAGATTTTTCACGTAGATATTGTTGAATTTGATCTTACTCTCCGTTGATTCTCTCTCCTGCTTACGGAGGAAACGGCCAACGTACACTTGCTTATCATTAATAAGCATGCCATTCAACTTGTCTATAGCATTTTGTGCAGAATCTTCATTATCAAATTGTACAAATCCATAGCCCTTTGATTGGCCAGTAGGATCTGTGGCTATTTTACAAGATAGTATGTTCCCAAAGCTTGAAAAAGTATCATGTAGTGCTTTGTTATCAATTGATTTGTCCAAATTCTGCACAGGAAATTTCAATAAATTTTTAACACTACATAAACATACAAGCACACAACTACCAATTGCAAAACAGTAAATCTTTTTTTTTTATAAATAAAGACCAGAACACCTCCAACCTGAAGAATTCAGACCACATATATAGCTGCAACTGTGTGAAAACAACAACCACCAAATGCAACTTCTCCTGAACTACCAATTGCGATAATACATAAAATGTTCTAGTACAAATACATGGTCAAAATAATGGCAGGCGGCAAGGTATATAATCCTCTGTGCCAAACATGGAGTCTGAAACAACCCTTAGCAGGTTCTTGGAAACCCAGAAGATTATATAGATAAAAATCCACCTAAATGAATTCCCTGTAACCAACCTAATAGATCCACTGGAATGAAATGATTGACACAAAAGAATGATGTAATAAAAAAGAGGAGACATATCAAACCACTGTGAAAGAAAATAACATGCTAATTCATAAAGCAACAAGCTTACAATCAGTCAAGCCAGATAAAACCAAAGCAGCTGTGCACATATACCTTTATAAATATGTTTGCAGATCCACTTTTACGAATAGTGGGGTCTCGATGAGAAAACATTATTCGGATCGACTTGTTGTTCAAAGAAGTGAAGTTCAGCAATTCCATTGCCCTAGCCGCTATAATCAGGGAAAACAGGAGACATATCAGATATTGTAAAGGTTCAGATAATCATTGACTTCATATGTCTAAGCCAGCCAGCCTTGTTTAGTTGATATGGAATGGCACATACAAAATCGAACTGCTTGTGGTCACCTTGATAAAACTCAAACAAGCTGGAAGTAAGTATAAAAGACTAAACCTTGAGAAGCTTTTAATTGTTGTTAGTTTCAGCTAACACAAAGGATTTCATTTACTCCTAGAGCCAAAACCCAAAGTGATTCGGCCAAAGATGCTTGTCTTTTTTTTTAAAGCATTTGGCACAATATCAAATGGCATTACACTCCCGATTACATTATTCCACATGCGTAATATGATCTGTTTCTATCGCTTCATATACCTAGTGTCATTTATTTCCTCACTCTCAAGGCGCCCAAACGGTTAATATTAAGCCTCTCTTTGTCCCCATTTTCTAAAACTCATTTTTCCTCAAACTAATTTTCAACCCCACAATTCATGAAACCCACAACTTTTATTAACTTTTCAACAAAATATTTCATTCACTTTTATCAAAATCTACTAAAAATCTAATTTTTAGCTAAACTAACTGGGGCTAAGTGAATATTCCAACCATATGAGTCCATGACGAACCATAAATGACACAAAAAGGAGGAGCATATGCTTGAGGCTCATGTTGCACCAAGCAATTATTTCAATTTTACCTTTTTAAAGTTATGACGAAAAATTATGAAAATAAACTCCAAGAAGGAAAATTTAGGCCATGGAAAAATTTGAACCAATTTTTACTCAGGGCTAAAATTGCAGTCCAACAATAGTGTAAAAGATCGTCAATTTCTATTTCACAATAACACGATAAACTAACAATAAGCATCTACACAGACAAAACCACTGCGTTTCACTATGGTACTAGCTGCAACTACATCAACATTCAAGTCGTCCAAAACTGACAAGCAAGTAGAAAAAACAAAATAATCGAGGAATCAATGAAAGTAAACAAGGACTAACCATCCTGCGGGCTGCTATAGTTTACATAACCATACCCAAGGCTGCGCCGAGTGCTCAGGTCCCGACACACCCTAACAGAAACAACCTGACCAACCTGGTTGAACAGATCGTACAGCTGCGAGTCCGTAACACTGAAATCCAAATCCCCTACATACAAAGAAGTAGAGGGAAATTGGCTAGTCCCTCCACCTGGTGCTGCAGTGGCCGCAGGCACTCCATTCGGTCCAACGGATGCCGCCAATACATTCTGATGCTGCATCTGAATTTGCGCCATTCCTCCTCAACAATCAAATTTGATTTTTATTCCTTTTTTGATATTTATCCCTCTCCTCTTTGTTATATATAGCTGAAACCCTAGAGAGGTAAAACAGAAAAGAGTAAACAGAGAGAATTGAACAGGAGAATTTTTTTTTTTATTTTGGTATAACAACGAGGAGAGGGAAGAGTAAAATAAAGATAGAAACTGGGGAGATGAAAATAGGTTTGGGTGGGCAGGAACTGCACCGCAGTCGGAGAAGAAAGAAACTGTAGAGTTTATATATGGAATGAAAAGGATTAAGAAACCCTAATTTGTGACGGAGGTGACACGTGCAAATCTGCACCAGCGTGTGACCACGTGGTCAGATGCTAAGAGCTACATGTGTATGAATCCACAGCGGTTGAAATGGCTAATAATGTTCTTTTGGTAACCTACGTTTAAAAAAGTAAGGAAATTTTTGAATTTTTATATAAAATCATTTTAATAAAAAAAATGTGTAATTGAAAAAAATGAGAGCCAAATAGATAATAAAATTAGTATGTTTCATTATTCAATTGTGACGATATTCATTGGCTGTGGAATGATATTCTGGTTTCGCAATATATGAGTTGAGTGTTGTCAAGGCATACAGAAGAGAAAATTTTAAGATAAGAATTGCAAACTTGTTTGGGATTTCATTCTAGTGTGCATTGTTTGGTGTATGTGTGTGGAGAGAGAAAAAAACGGTCAGTGCTTTGAAGATCAAACACAGACGACAGAGCAATTTAAAAAATTGTTTTACTCGACTTTATATAGTTGGTTTAAGGCTGTAACCACTAGTCCGATAAAAGGGTTGCCTAATTTTTTATTGTTTCTATCTTATTTAAGCTGATAATGCACTTCTTGTGTATTATCTTTTGATTTTCATTTATAAAATTACTTGATTACCTGTTAAAAAAAAAAATTTCAATTATTTTTCCATCCATCATTTTTGCCTAGACGCAGGGGCTGAGAGAGGGGAAGTCTTGCCTAGACGTCTTTCCTTCCATTTTTTTTCTTATTTTATGTTCAAGAACCACCGAGCAACATTTTGTGAACCTCCCAAGCAACATGGTGGGAGAAGTAGTCTTGCGAGAGGAAAGGGGTGGCCTAGAGGACAGCGATTGAGTTGGGGATTTGACGCCTCTAGAATTATGATATTTTAAAATTATAATGAAGAACTAAGATTTTACTGAGGCAACAACAAGAATTAGACAACAAATCTTAACTCTTGCTAGAAAGTAAAACAAAGTCGTTTGAAAGTACTAGAATAATGTGGTAAGTCAAACAAAAATGAATTTGGGCTGAAACCTAATCGCAAAGGGACAGGTGCAAGTCCAATCATACCAGTGCTTGCTAATTGGATTGTAGATCCAGTAACATGTCCAGATTATTGAGTACCTTACTAATTAAATTAACTTTATTGAAATGTTCCTAAAAATATCAAAACATTGTAGGGAAATACCAATCTCGATCTCAATTGAGAGTATCGACATTAACTAATAATAGTTGATAGTTCGTTGTTTGCTCATTAAATAATGGGTCCATTTGGTATGACTTCTATGTTCATTTTTTGTAGAACTTTTAAAGAAATATATAGTAGTCAATTTTTTTTTTTTAATTCTTCTAACCGAACAATATTTTTTTAAAAAAAATTATTATTATTCAGGAGTAACTCGTTAATCTAATAAATAGTTATTAGTCTTTCAAAAGCTTTGTCAAACGGGATAATTTTGGATTTGTGTCCTTGAAGATATTTTTTTAAATACGCCTATTTTTGCTAGTTTAAACAAGATTCGATTGCATTGCTTCACTTAGCAATATGCCAATATTACAACTTCAAAGTCATAATTTGCCTATGTTTGATTTTGGTAAAAGTAAGATTTTTAATAGATTTTAATAAAAGTTAATAGAATTTATGGTTGAAAAGTTGTGAATTTCATAGAATGTCCGATTAAATGAAATTCTAATTTTGACTTAAATTTTAATTTACTTTTATAACTAAACCAAACAGAGGCAATTGCTAGAGATTTGTGGGGTCAAGATTCCTAGAAATACCTTTCTGGATATTTCTTAATGTCCCGACTATTCACGGAACATGAGAAGTAGATGCTTCTTGAAAAAATTGAAGAATTTCTTATGAATCCTACAAGATTCGTTCGTTCTTTTTTCTCTGATAGACAAATCCTATCGAGAGATCCACTGGAGATCAAAAATTGTTGAAGAAACAATAAAATTTGTCTTTTGTCCCTTTAGGGTGAAAACAGAGGCAATAGCTAGTGATTTGTGGGGTCAAAATTCCTAGAAATGCCTTTCTGGATATTTCTCAATGTCCCGACTATTCACAGAATATGGATGCTTCCTGAAGAAATTGAAGAATTTCTTATGAATCCTACAAGATTCGTTCATTCTTTTTTCTCTGATAGATGGTCAGAACTTCATCTGAGTTTGAATCATACTGAGAGATCCACTAGAGATCAAAAATTGTTGAAGAAACAATAAGATCAGTCTTTTGTCCCTTTTGGGCAATCAAAAAATAAAGAAATTGTTAATATATTTAAGATAATTATGTATTTACAAAATACTGTCTCAAATCATCATATTTCATCAGATCCGGGGTGTGATAGGATTTCGAAAGATGAATCAGATATAAACAGTTTCAATAGGATTTCATTCTTGAACAAAAATCCATTTTCTGATTTATTTAATGCAAACAAAACATTTAGAAATACAGCTCGTACTTGGTTCAACTAGAAAAATCAATTAAAATTTGAGATTGATTATTAATTTTAACTACATATTTCATGATATCTACAACTTTTCAACCACACATTCCATCAACATTTATCAAAATTTATTAAAAATCTAATTTTTATCTAAACCAAAGATAGACACGATATTATGTCTCCCACTTGATATGATACTTTATCAAAGTCTTGAGAAAATGTTTATTTATTAATTTGAACAGTTGCATGAGACTAATGGAAGACATTAACAAAATATGAAACTTAATTAATGTAAAAGATTGTTGTCAGTGCGTGGACTTGAGTGCCATGCTACTGAATAAAGAGTAACAGGAAACGACATTTTCCAAATGACAGACGACTTTAGTTTCATGTTAGAAATGGAATACAGATCAGAAATCAGCACAGTGCAATGAGATCGATACAAATTCACTTGTTTCTTTTTTCTTTCTTCTTCAATCCAAGAAAGAAAAACAAGCAAGAAATTGAAGTACACGAAATTCGAACATTTTCTACAATTACATAGTTCATCTGCCTTCCGGGTGCAAAGGGAAGAGTTTCAGGGTCCTGTCTTCGTCTTCTGTACAATATCTCTTGTCCTCTTCCAGGCCTTCGAATGTCCATGTCCTGCATTTTCGCTTGTGTGGACTGTCTTCGTCCTTCACATCGTCCCCCTACAAGAATTTTCGTTGTTACTAATTTATCGAGTATTTTTCATAGAAATTTGGACAGGAAATTAAATTACCTTAGTGTCAGATAATAACAGAGAAGTGTTAAGTGTGGAAGAAGGTGGTGTTCTTGGACTATGGCTATTAAGACCTAGACTATTGCGCTTTTGCTTCTGTCTCTCTCGGGCTTTGTGGTTCTGGAACCAGTAAAACACGTTTTTCCCTTCTATTTTGCCATACTTTCCTAACTGAGCAGTGATTTGCTCGATTTGTTGCGCGTTTGGAGTTCGCATTCCTCCTCTATACAACATTTCAAGTATCCCAATCTGTTCTTGGGTCGGATTCCACCTCGTCCCTCCAGGATGTGTATCTACCTACATTTACAATCATCGAAAGGTTAAATGGACTCAATTTCGACAAATTGATCGTGTCGAGTATTGCATACTACACATGACCTCAGAGATCGTAGCATTTGCATGGACAAGTAACTACCTGAGCCGATTCTTTCTTGTGATATTCCGAGGATCCAATCTTGATCGGACCACTTTCGGGTCTAATGAAGCTCTTGAGGTCGAAGATGGGGACAACACTGTCCGAGTTGGTGGTGATAGTGGTGGTGGTGAGTTGCTTGGGAGCAAGCGGGCGAAAGCGCTTACAGCCAAGTGTGAGAGAGGGTGGCTCGTGCATATGTTGCTCCCAGAATCCACGCGCAAACTGATGAACCTTCATGCTGCCTTCAATTCCCATGGATGACATTTGATGCCTAATCAGAGTTGTGGTTATATAGAAGAAAGCTAAGGGATAAAGAATTAGTGGGAAATGATCAGTTGGTGTCCAATATTAGCCAAGACCAAATGATGAGGTGAGGTTGACTTGAGATTTCCATGTTTGAAAAGAGAATTGAAAAGTTGTTTCTCTCTCTAGAGAGAATGATATGATGTGCAAATCTAGGCTAAAAACGCAAAATATATCCCTTCTAATTTTTTCTTAAATTTCCTAAAATAATCCTCACTTTTTAAAAGCAAATACACTCAAAAACTTTGTATATTCAAAATAGTATTAGATCACGTACTTCTCTTCTATAATCGAATGTGGATGCAATATAATAAGAGAAGATAATTGTTTGTGTAGGGTAGACGAAAGGTGCATGCGGGTATTTGAAACATAATTTGATACGGGATTGGTTGTCTGGCGCTTCTATTATCTTAACAACTAGGTCGAGCCATCAAAAAAAGAACAAAAGGAGGTTGCTTACTCTTAGTCTCTATATCTTCTTTTTTACCTAACAAAAGTATAAAGGCAATCGTCGAACTTAGATACATTACTTATATAATTTGCACTAAATTTTGTTCATTTTAACAANATAGATAGAAAGCGGAAGGATTCATATTTTGAGTATGTTTGGTAGGGATTTTTGGGGAAAGAATTGATTTTTGAATAGTGAAATGATGGGAAATGTGTGGTTGAAAAAGAAGAAAAAATTATTGATGTGATGAAAAATATTATTTTATTGAAGAATGTATGGTTGAAAATGAAAATTGATTTACTGTAGAAAATGAGAATCTGTACCAAACAGGCTCTAAATCAAGTGATCGTCAAAATTATAATTTATCCAAAAAAATAATTAAAATAGAAGCGACTTATTTTCGAAAAGCTACAAGTAATTGAGTATGTGCGTGTGGGTGTAAAAATGAGTGTACAAGCGTGTGGTGGGTGGTCTAATCGGTTATAATTTCTTGCTTTCATGATAAGGGATTAATGCTTTTCGGTGGCCTCTTTACTCAACTTTATCAATGTAAAGTGAAGAGAGGGAGAGAATGTAAAAAAGATTCCTCCAATCCCAATACTTGAAAATGCAAACTCTTTTACTTTTTTAGATACGGATATGAGAAGAATCGAATGCCGTCTCTTTCTGTTGAAAATTGTAAAATTAATACTATGCCTTTTCCATTTCAACTTAATATATCTCTCTCTTTTGCAACTGTTTGCTTCAATTTCCCAAATAATATAAAACCACAAACGTGCTTTTGATCCCATTTTTGTATCACAAAATTTTGCATACAAGTGGATGACATCCATGTTTCAAAATCTGAGATTAAAAAACTGTTTTTTAATATATTTGAATAATATTCTGAAAGTAATTTGTCTTGTTGGAAAAGTATTTTTTTTAAAAAAAAGTAGAAGTCCTACCAAACAAATTCTTCATATGCTAAACATAAATTATCTGTAAAATAAGAATAAAGTTATTTGTACATTCTTTGTTAACAACTTTGTTGACAATCTATGTATTGTCAAGATCCGTACTGCTGATTTAAAAATCAGTTTTCAAAATGGATGATGTAGATTCTTGCCAACTCATGGTTGTCAACAATCAACCATGGTTCGACAAATAAATTTGGCTGTATGAAGATAAGACAAGGGTTGAGGTGGTGGTGATCACCTTTTCGGTACAAGATTCGGATAAATTGTCGTTGTTCTGCGTTTGCCAAGACTAACATGTGGGAAACAAATAGAGGTACGATTTGTTAACAACACAGTCAAAATGCACACTGCAATTCCACTAGTTCAATCATTAAATACTTGACTGATTTTCATCCTCCAAAATGTGATGGAAAAACACTAGTTTAAATTGTGAAAATGTTGTTGACTTCGGTAAAAAACTAGGTCGTCTATACCTGGAACAGTTGTAGATGCTTATAGTCTTGGTGTGAAGGACCTTTGACAAGTGTAATTACTTGGAGGCGATTTGGAGAATGGATTGGCTTCGCAATTGTGAAAGTGTACACAAAAATGGGGAGTGAGTATCAAAAGAAAATAAGAAGCATGTCGATGGTGCACGAAATTTCAAGTGGGAGCTTTTCTTTATTTAGCTTCGAATCAATTAGATTGATTAACTTTATCTTTGTGCCTTTCATTGACTAGATGTCACATTCTATATATGCATGTCTTCAACATTTTATAAATCTTCTCTAATTTTCTTCACAAATATTGATAAAAAGAGAATAGATTATATCTAAAAAAATGAAGTATCGCCAAAATAAACTCTACAATAGGTCTGACGACCTCAATAGCGACTTCTGGCCCATGGCAATTTCGAATGTCAAGTTAGTATAGTGAGAATGGGATAATGAAATGAGAGAAAATGTGAAAAAAAAAATAATAATAAAATAAAAATCAATATGGTTACAGATGGAAAAATAATCCAATTCAAAATAAAATCAAATTTTCATGCATGAAGACCCCTTGTTTATAGGCTACCAATGGGTATGGACATAATTAAGATTGAAGGAAACAAGGAATTTGCTGGAGTGAGCGAGCGAATAGAAAAAGAGATTTTTCAAGCATCTTGCTATGATTTTATTCTGCAGTTCCTTTTTTGTCAGCTCCCTAGGGAGCCTACTAAAGGTCGGGGTCCTTGAGCTGTGATCATGGAGCCTCGAGCTTAGGTGCAAAGGCCTTCGGTCTTTAGCTCTCAAGCTTTGGCATTCAATTATTTTGTTAATTTTAGAGTTAATTGCTTCGTAATTCAGGTATTACCAACTCAATCATGATACTTGTACATTAGGGCTTGAGGTAATGCTATATGTACACACACATTTTTACACAATCTTTTACACCTCTCTCACATGGAGGGGGGTCCACGATTATTTTATTATGTGTGGGCCCTCCTCCATGTGAGGTGGGTGTAAAAAATTGTGTAAAAGATTGTGTACACTTAGCATACACAATCTTTTACACATCTCTCACATGGAGGGGGGTCCACGATTATTTTATTATGTGTGGGCCCTCCTCCATGTGAGGTGGGTGTAAAAAATTGTGTAAAAGATTGTGTACACTTAGCATTATTCTAGGGCTTGACACCACATCACGTGGGGGTCACGCGTAATTTAAAAAAAAAAAACACGAGCCCCCATGTGAGGGGTTGTTGACCCCAAATGTACAAGTAGCGTAATTGATTACCGTCTATTTAAATGCTTATCACACCAAGATGCCAGTACAATTTTGTTTGGGTAAATCCGACCAAGGATTTCTCTACTTGTACACAAGCAGAGCTTCCAGAATTTCACCAGATGTTGATGTGGCATGACAACATCTGGTTGATTTTTATTTTTTTTTTCGTCATTATCGAATCAAAAACTGCCAAGTATATTCTGACAAAATTCTGACAACATTTTTTGTACACATAGCATGCCAATCCTACCAATTCGAAAGTACAATAAATATAATGTTTTAGAATTTTTTTTATTTTATAATATTATTTAGTAACGTACCATTCACTTTAACAAATATATCATGCAATAATGATGGATTGAAGATTTGTTTTAAGCTTGATGGTCAGATACATACATGAACTAGAATAAATCGTTAATCTTGAGTAATAACAGTAAAAGACTTGTGAGTAATAACGATAAAAAAACATTTACATAAAGTTAGAGCAATGCAATGCGAGTTCGATTAACTAGAGTTAAGTGGGACCCTTTGAGAAGAAAATAGTAATTAAATCCCTAATTCATGCCTATAATAAGTCTTTCTAGGCAAACAAAACAAAATCTAGCCCCTCTTTTTGGGTAGAGATTAAAATATATAGAGTGATGCTACAAGAATATAATTGTCTGCATAATAGTCTACATAATTACAAGTTGCATTGATCAAAGAATAATTCTACTTGTACATCAAAAAATGTACATAAGGGTGTACACCCCCTCACATGGGGTGGGACCCACTTGTACAAAATATTTTTTTTATTCAAACGGGTCCTACCTCTATGTGAGGGGGGTATACACCCCTGTGTACACCCCTATGTATATGGTGATGTACCACTAGCAAAATCGTTGATCAAAACCTTTAATTCAAATCTGACACTTTCACATCAACGATATGACAGTTGCCACATCACATTATGTCATTTATTATGTACACTTAGCATTTTTCAAATATATATTGTCATATGAGTCAAAGTTAATAATAAATTTTAACAGTATATTTTATGGGATTCACAACTTTTCAACCATACATTTTATCAACTTTTATTAAAATACACTAAAAATTTAATTTTAATCCCATAGCATGAACTAATAATGTTAACAAGAAAACAAAGGATATTTATGTTTGAATACGAGGAATGGGAACACACGAAACCCCAATCAATCACCAATAAAACATGCCGAAATTGGTTTTTTTTCACGTATATGTCTTTGCCTATTCCATAGGTTTCATGATTCTGCACCTACTCATTTGAAAAGAATGTCTTTTGCCAGTTTTGCTTTTGGAAAAAGAAAAAAATAAACATAATAAATAGAATTATTAGCAAGTAAAAATTGTAACTAGAATAAGGGACATGACATTGTTTACCCATACATGTGTTGTTCAAGACATTTTTAGGGCTTATACAATACAAGACTTTTATAGTGAAAGTAAATTGAAAAATATGATCATGGTTTAAACTTTTTAGTTATAAACGATAAAAATAGCTATTTACTATTTTTGCTTTAACTCTGTCCAATTTTGTTTGATCCAAGGTCTATGTATATGAGGATTTTTTTTATAATAACACTCGGAAATAATTTAGAGTGTGTTTGGAAGAGTTTTTACAAAGCTCAAAGAACTCTTTGGAGGGTAAAAGCTCTTTCGGTTAAGGTCCAAGTGCTTGTTGAGTAAAAATAGCTTTTTAAAGGGTGCACAGATCCTGGTCAACTTGGGCATATCCCGCGATTAACCTCCACCCATCACTGAGGGGCCGGGGATGGGTGGTCTAA